TCACACTAAGCATGCTTGTAGCGACAGTGGAGAGGAAAAACTCCCTTTGAACAGAAAGAACAAAGATGGCCGACCCGTTTTTCGGTGCCGTTGACTATCAGAGCATCCTGTTAAAGAACCGTCTGGGTCCAGAAGGAAACCCGTCCTGGTTGGCTGAACTCTGACCCTCCAGACATTCCATCACATTGTAATTATCGCCATAGCAACCGGGGGTTAGAACCTCCCAGTCAGGATCAGTTTGGTCAGATTATTGAGAACCGATCAGAAGGTTCTCCTCAGTAGCTTCATCTGGTCTCTCCCTGATTGGCTGTGACTCCATCCTGGAGAGAAATATCAGCTGATAGATTAGAGATTCTAGATGTTGGAGCTTTTTCAGTGTTTGGTCTTGTTTCTCTGCTGTAGATCTGGGCTCAGCTTCTATTGAGACTAAGTGGATTTTCTGTCTTTCTGAAATGAAAACTGGATCTTTCTTTCCCAGTCAGATCCACCGGTGGAGCTAGCTTAGCTAGCTTTGCTAACATAGAAAGTGTTTATAGATCACAGCTTCTATGTTCCTTTTCTATGTCTATGTTTTCCATAGAAGTTCTGACCCAGTCAGGATGTTCTCTTTGGTTCTGGAAACTGAATCTGATGAAATGTCCTAAATTAAACAGAATCGTGATCAGAACTGAACCAGAACCAGGTTCTGGTTCTGGTTCAGGTTCTGGTTCAGTTCTGGTTCTGACCCGTCTCTCCTGTCTTGCAGCTGGACATCATGAGTCTGGGCGGCACTGACCTCTCTGAGCTGCTGGTTCTGTGGGAGGAGCTTAACCGGACCTCCAACCAGTCTCAGGTGGAGCTGGTGGTGTGTTCGGGTGCCGTCGGACACGCCGCTCTCCTCCACGTTCTGTCAGTCTTCTACATCTTCATCTTCCTGGCTGGTCTGGCCTCCAACGTCCTGATGATCTGGGTGAGCCTGCGGCGCGGCGGCGCCCGGTCCGAGTCCCGGCCGTACCTGCTGAACCTGGCGGCGGCGGACCTGTGCGTGGTTCTGACCCTGCCCTTCTGGGTGGCGTCTCTGCTGCAAGGCGGGCTCTGGCCGTTCGGGGCGGCGCTCTGTAAGGCGACCCATCTGATGTTCGGCGCCGGCCTGCTCAGCAGCATCCTCTTCCTCGCCTGCCTCGGCGTGGACGCCTACCTGTCCGTCACGCTGCTCGCCGGCGCCCCCAGCGGCCGCAGGAGGAAGCTGATGCGGCGGCTGAGCTGTGCGTTGCTCTGGCTCCTGGCGTTGGCGGCCTCCATCCCTGAAGCCTACTTCCTGCAGGCGGTGCGGTCCCCCCACCGTGGCGGCGCCGTGTGTCGACCCGTCTTCCCGTCGGAGAACCCCAGGGACGGGATGGTGGGGGTCCAGGTGAGCTTTCTGGTGCTGGGCTTCGTCGTCCCCGCCCCCATTATCACCGGCTCCTACCTCCTGCTGGCGGCGGGCCTCCCTCCGGGCTCGGATCAGACGCGGCGCCTCATCCGGTCCTACGTGGTGGCGTTGGCGGCGTGCTGGCTGCCGTTCCACACCGTCCTGCTGCTGGACACCCTGGCGCTGCTGGACGCGCTGTCCTTCAGCTGTCGGCTGGAGAGCTTCCTGTTGGCGGCGCTGCCCCTGACGCAGTGCTGCTCGCTGCTGCACTGCGTCCTCAACCCCGTCCTCTACTGCTTCCTGCACAGGAGCCGCCGCCATGACCTCATGGAAGCCTTCGTCTTCCAGTACTCTACCAGAACCGGGCTGGTCCGGCTGATGGACGCCTCCCAGGCCTCAGATGCCTCTGCAGACCAGAACCGGCCGGTCCGATCCGCTCTGCAGGACGGCGCTGGAGCAGATCTATGAACTCTGGTCGTTTTGGACCTTCTGGTTCTGATGGCTGTGATCCGGAACCAGGAGGTCCAGCGTCAGGAACACCAGAAACTGGAGTCAACTGGACTTCACTGAGATGAAGATGTTTCGCCGCCGATCCGGGTCTGTGTCCTTCTGCCTCCATTTTAATTCTGTTGGTGGTTTCCACCATCCGGACATCTGAAGGTCAGAGAACCTGACAGAGATCCAGAACAGACCTCAAGGTTCTGCAGAACCGGTCCAGGTCCGGTCTGTTTGGATTCTGCTGTCCTTTATCTGGTGACCAATCCATATTTTAACCACTTTAGATTCTGTTCATATTTCAGCCTTTTTAACTTGAAATGTCTGATATTTAATGCATGGAACACCTTCCCTGATTAGAGAACATCATTAAAATTAATCAGAATGAGAGAAAATGTTTCATTTTCTGTTGAATGTGAGAGAAATGTCCTTAAAAAAGAAAGAAGTAAAAAGATTGGCGCTTTGATCCACTGAACAATAAAATAAATGCTTCATTCCCCTCGTGAATGGTCAGCCATTTTGCTTTTTAACAGTGAGAAGGAACCAGGGAAAGATTCCCGGATCCAAACATGTGTCCTCTAATGCTTCGTTCAGACCGCAAGCAGCAAAGGCAGCAGGAGCAACTGGTTTACGAGCTAAGTCAATGGTTGACGCACA